CCCCAATGTTGCCTCAAAAATACATGGTATGTTAGATTTAAACTTATGGGAACTGACATCCGATTGATGAAAAGTCCAGAAAATACTATTTAACTTATTTATGGTAGTCCTGAAAAGGACCGTTTTGTCGTGATGGTTGAGTAATGCTGAGCAGGGGTTGAAACAGTTGACGTTTTTTACTACACTTGCTTCGTTGTCGTGCGCGACAGTCTGTTTGTATTCATACCGTCTACCGTCGTCTCTCTCACACAACACAACCGGTAGAATAACATTCGAGCAAAATGAAAATTATCAAATAACTATCATATCAGGCATAACATTTGATAACGGCACAAAAGCATTTGTAAACAAACATTCTTAGGCCCTTTACACGCGAACCAAAGTACGCCCACGCAAACTAATACCACTTTCGGAAAGGTAATAGATGCCCCTATCCGATGATGTTGTTGGTTTGCGTGGGCGTACTTTGGATCGCGTGTAACGGGCCTTAGAAAGTTTGTTTACAAATGCTCTTGTGCCGTTATCAAATGTTATGCCTGATATGACATGTGTGATTTCGTTCTAATTCCTCAATTTGGTGTAAATTAAACCATTTCTGATACGAAATGTTATTACTAGGGCATCGTTGCTTGCTATTTTCAGAATTCACACAAGCACAATATCAGCAGCTCTTATTATGAGAAAACCCAAAATACATACATTCGTGACGGTCTTCGGCGACAGTGTAGTATGACATAACCTGTCATATGACATTTTAGTTTGGTACTGTACTATAGCTTGTTTTGCAAGTGTCAAAGGCAAAGGCAGTCGATTATAACAGAAAATGTGTCGACTACCGTGACCGCTTACAAGACAGATGCTGAGCTATTAGGGTGTTCATCACAGATGAGGCTGGCGAGCTTATGTTGTTTTAAAAGAGGATGACACGGTTGGCATAGATGGCCCACAGCGACTCACGAAGCGCTACTGAATCCGATCAGTAGCGCTGTGGCTTCTACCTCCTTCTTCGGTGAATGGACGCTCATGTGGGCTGCAGCTCGCTGTTTGCGGCAGCCTTTCGTTGTGTACTGGAGAACAATGTTCAAAGCCACGCGAAGAAGCACTGCTGCTGCTGCTGATGACGACCGATCGACCGGACACCACCACACACGGTGACTAAGCACCGTTCGGCGAGACCGGATGGAATTCGATTTTGAAATCTGTGTTAGGGAAAGCGCTTTGTGCAGGCAATCGGTGATAATTTTGATCTCCATTGCAAAAGTTGGACATTTGTGTAGTTTTCAATAGTGACTTATTGAAAATTGATAAGGTATTAATTTTAGCAGATTCGTAGAAAATTTCCAATCGATTGGCTTGTTTAGAATTAAAATCCATCCGCTATTGATAGAGTTATAAGTGGTCAAAACCTGACCCCTTTTCGTAACGCGGTCGATTTTGGTTTTTAGAAATTGCACTCCCAATATGTTGCCGAAAGACGTAATCCTACGTCGAAAAAAATACAAATTTGCCAACAAATTCCTTGTCTGTCAGGCGATCTGTAGATGTGGTAAAATGAGTCAGCCCTTCATCACATCTGGCACCATTAACGGGCAAATTTACAAGGATGGATGCCTTCAGAAGCACCCCTTGTATCTTGCCATTACGCCCGACCAGTATTAGACCAGTCGGACTTAATCAGAATTTTTGGCGACCATTTGTGTGTGCTTCATTTTTTTCGAATACAGTCTTTAGTTAAAACTGTTCATGTATTTGCCATTATTTTTTATCGAATACACTCTTTATTAAAGGGTGTCCACGATGAAATTGCCACACTATGAAATTGCTCTAACTTTTTAACCGTTGGGTAGAATTTAATGAAAATTTGGGTGGATTTAGTTCATAGTGCATTATTTACATCCTGCAAGTTTTAAAGTCCTGTGATCAAAACTCGCGGAAAAAGAGTCGAAAGAACAGCTCGTGCGTGATAAAATCTTGCGCATTCATCACGAGAACAAGGATCTCTCGCATCGTTCCATGGCTAAAACGTTGGGAATCGCGAATTCCACGGTGTCGCGAGTGATTAAGCGGTTCGAGGAACGGTTGACCACCGATCGGAAGCCCAGAAGTGAAGGAAAAAGTATTCCGTACAACACCAAAAATCACAACCGCGTAGTTGGGGCCTTCAACCGAAATCCGAACGCCTCCGTTAGGGATGTGGCTAAGAAGCTGCACCTAAGCCGAAGTTTTGTCCAGAAGGCCAAAACTAAGGCTGGGCTTCGAACGTTCAAGGTACAAAAGGCCCCTAATCGCGACGAGAAGCAGAACAAGTCCGCCAAAACCCGTGCCAGGAAGTTGTACCTCAACATGCTGACGAAAGTTGAATGCTGCATCATGGACGACGAAACATATGTGAAGGCCGACTTCAAACAGATCCCCGGCAACCTGTTTTTCACGGCCAAGGATAAGTTCAGCGTTCCGGAGCATGTCCGCACTCAGAAGATGTCCAAATTTGCGAAGAAATTCCTGGTTTGGCAAGCCATCTGCACGTGCGGGAAGCGGAGTGCACCTTTCGTGACCCAGGACACGATGAATGGACAGGTGTACATAAAAGAGTGCCTCCAGAAGCGGCTGCTTCCTCTCCTGAAGGCCCACAACGTCCCAACAATCTTCTGGCCGGATTTGGCCTCATGCCACTACTCCAAGGACGTGCTGAAGTGGTATGCGGACAATGAGGTCAATTTCGTGCCGAAAATGTTCAACCCTCCCAACGCTCCGGAGCTCCGCCCCATCGAGAAGTACTGGGCGATTATGAAGCAGCACCTTCTTAAACGACCTAAGGTAGTGAAGACAGTCGAGGAACTGAAGAAAGTATGGGTTTACATGCAAAAAACGGTTGATTCACAGGTTGTGCAGAATCTTATGGCCGGGGTTAAGGCCAAGGTGCGGGCATTTGCGTATGGACTGTAAATAAAATTCGAGTAAAATGGTAAAATGAAGTTTAATATTTATTTCTCAATCCCTGAAAATTTGATGGCAATCGGATGAAAACTCGAATTTTGCGAATCAATTTTGTGTGTGGCAATTTCATCGTGGACACCCTTTATCTTGCCATTACGCCCGACCAGTATTAGACCAGTCGGACTTAATCAGAATTTTTGGCGACCATTTGTGTGTGCTTCATTTTTTTCGAATACTGTCTTTAGTTAAAACTGTTCATGTATTTGCCATTTTTTATCGAATACACCCTTTATTATATCATACAGTAAACTTTCGCTCGTTGGGCTAAACCCATAACCCACTTAGTGAAAGGCTGGGCTGAGCTGTCAAGCTGAAAATGGGTTGAGAGACACACCGATTTATTATTATCATCGCAATCCTTGAGCAATTCGATACTTGTCATCCATGAGACCCTCGAAAATGAATCAGCACTGTCAGAAGTGACATTTGACTCAGATTTAGGTAGGCTACAGCCCATCTAACGGGAGCCCAACTATAACGTAGCTCACTTAAAGATAGCCCAACGAGCGAAATTCGACTGTACTGACTACTATCCTGTACTAGCAACCTAAAATATCAATTTACATTGTCCAGTAAGGTGTTGTTGATTCAGGGTGGTCACTCAACCGGGAAAACCGGGAGATCCGGGAATTAACCAGGAACCGAACCCAACCGGGAAATAATCGGAAATTTGATTGCAATCTCAAATTATGTTTGTATGCAAACTGATTTGTCTTTTTCAGAAGTGAAACACTTAACTTATCGAATTAATTTTTCTTAAACCTGGATAAAGAATCATACAAAATGTGTTTACTCTCAAGCATTTCGGAGTCTTATATATATTTTTAAAGTCGTGAGATGTTTTTATCGATCAAACCGATAATGAAGTCAAACTCCATCCAGTCCCTTTTGAAGAGTTTTTTTTTAGACAGAAATCTTGATTACTTATTGTGTCAGGTCAGGATTTTAAAAGCTATTTACTAAATCGTAAATCTTGGTCTTAACACACTTTTAATGTCTGATTTATCTATGTAGATAATTTGTAGAATTTTCTCAAGAATTTTCTTAAATCTCCCAAGATGTCTACCCTCAATGTCACCCTAATGTTTACAGTTACCAAAATAAGGGACTTTTCAAGAAAAAAAAAACTTCACCAAAGGCACCGAACGTCTATTCCGGCTAAATTCCCATTCTGGACCACTGTGCATTGTTTAAGATTTTATTGGGTTGCTCTACAGGCTGAAAATGTTAAATCCAGAAAAGTTTGAAAAGTCTAAATACCTCGTTGGTACCATACCATGATGTGCATATTGTCAAAAGCTTCTCTTGAGCTTTACGAACTCATAAAACATTTCAGGACATTGTTAAAGACTTCATTGAACCTGTTGAACGTTATGATCTTAACTCCAGAATTGTGGTTGAAACCATTCCTCGATTAGAATGTTGTCAACAGCGCACAACTTTGCAACTACATGCATTCTGATTGTCTGGGAAAATCGCGCGGCCCCTCGCCGATGCAGCAAACAAAGTCGAGAAAAGGTAGTTCCAAGCCTATGGTAACGACGCCACGATCGACGCCCTGCGCGCTCTCCGCATTCAAATCCAGTGAATGCATGTGCGCTTGTGTCTATCGTTCAGCAAAGCGCGGCCAATTGCATGTCCCGAGGTGATACTTTGCGCTGGCTTCCTTACCCACACCGTGCTGTTCCTTTCTTCGTGTTACCATCCAACCACATGCAACTTCTCACCCTTTCCCATATATGCATTAGAGGCACCAAAGCGACGATTGTGAAACAGCAAACTGCACTCTCTTTATTATCACCATAGACTGCGGAAACCAATAAAGCCTGTCATTTGCATGCACGATAGCACTATTCGCACTCGGTCTACATAGATCTTGGGAACAGACACCCCCTCCCCTCCCCTTACCAAACCCCATCATGTTCCCATGCTGAGCGTGAACTATTGTCGACTGACTTGTAACCATTTCTTTCTCCGTTTCCCACGTTGTTCGTTTTTTGCAGAAGAAAGCCTTGGCGAGTGATTTGTACGAGCAAGTCATCTATTCGCTGGATCTGATCGAGAAGGACTACTTCGGGCTGCAGTTCACCGATGCCAACAATGTCAAACACTGGCTCGATCCCACGAAGCCGATCAAAAAGCAAGTCAAAAGTAAGTTCGATTCTAATAAAGCGGTTGCCCGTCTGATTAGCGTTATTTTTTCTTGCAGTCGGCCCTCCCTATACCCTCCGGTTGAAGGTGAAATTCTACTCCTCCGAACCGAACACCCTGCGGGAAGAGCTCACCCGGTACCAGTTCTTTCTCCAGCTGAAACAGGATCTGCTTGAAGGCCGGCTGGAATGTCCGGATCCGCAAGCAGCAGAATTGGCGGCCCTAGCGCTACAATGTACGTGTTTGTAATAATGTGTGACCTTCCTATAGGAGCTTGTTTGTTAGTCTAATGTGAGCACATGTGTTCTCCGTTATTATTGTTTATACAGCTGAACTGGGTGATTTTGACGAGACAGTCCACTCGGCCGTAACCGTGTCCGAGTTTCGCTTCGTTCCCAACCAAACCGAAGAGCTGGAGCTGTCGATCTTGGATGAGTACAAAAAATGCAACGGGCTGACGCCGGCCCAAGCGGAAACCAGCTTCCTCAGCAAGGTCAAGTGGTTGGATATGTACGGTGTTGATATGCATACTGTTTTGGTAAGGTTTTCACCGTTTGCCTTGGGAAGAATTATTGATTCATGCGTGATATTTTCTAGGGCAAAGATGGGTGCGAGTACCACTTGGGGTTGACCCCCACCGGTATTCTGGTGTTCGAAGGTATCCAGAAAATAGGTCTGTTCTTTTGGCCCAAGATAGGTAAGCTGGATTTCAAGAAGAAAAAGTTAACCCTGGTCGTGGTGGAGGACGACGATCACGGCCGGGAACAGGAGCATACGTTCGTCTTTCGGCTGCATAATGAGAAGGCCTGTAAGCACCTGTGGAAGTGTGCCATCGAGCATCATGCCTTCTTCCGGTTGCGCGCTCCGGTCAAGGGACCATCGGCACGGCAGAACTTTTTTCGGATGGGCTCCCGCTTCCGATACTCTGGCAAAACAGAGTTCCAGACAACGCAACAGAACCGAGCCCGGCGAACGGTCCAGTTCGAGCGACGGCCCTCACAGCGTTTCGCTCGTCGTCAATCGCACGTGCTGCGAGAACGTCAGAAGCAAGTCTTTCCCGATCAGCAGCAGCCAGCGCAACAGCAGCAGCCACAGTTATTATCTACCGCTGATGACACTCAGAACTCCACCTCGGGAACATCAACTCCATCAGCGAACACGGTGATCCATAACCATATCTCGGCATCGGCCAGCAGTGCTTCCGACATCGGGATGCATGTCGTCAACGGCAATCTACCCTCGCTTAGTTCGAATAAGTCGATCTCCTCGAATGAGGATGTCACGTTCGGTAAACTGGGATCGTTCGGGAAGGCTGGAATCTCCTACAAGTGCGTGTTGTTTGCTGCATTTAACAACCCGGCGTTCAGATTTACTAACGATTTCCTTTTCAGACCTGAAGAACCAGTCGGTAAACTGATCGATCACGACAATCCCTTTATGCGGGTACCCGGCCATCACCACGGTGGATCGTTCGGCAAAGCTTCCATTAGTTCTGGTTTTAGCATTAAAACCACCTCCTCGGATCGTGACAGTCACATAGATACGCTAATGAAAACCATCGCAAAGGATCCATCGCCCTCGCTGCATGGAGTGGAACTGAATGATGCTAGTAGCTTTAAGGTCACCATCAACAAAACTTCCGAACTGGAGACGAACAACGATACGCTGAAAAAGTTGTCCACCAGTGCGGCGGAGAAACCCAACAATCAGATCAAGCTGTCAAATGCGGCCGTTACGCCGCTTCCACCAGGACAGATCAAGTGCAATATTCTCAAGGGTAGGCGCGTGCGAAGCTTCCGGTTGGGAAGTAGATTAATCCTTGTTTTGATTTTCAGCACGCGCAGAAGAAGAGCTACATCCGAAGCTGACCAATCACCAGCTGTATGTTCCGCTGAACGATGGACCAGATTCGCTAAGCGCGGCGACATTTGTGTCGGTGGTAAGTACCCATCTGCACAACGTTTTGTATTTTGGGTCTAATACGATTTTACCGTTGCCTGCACAAGTTTCGTTTTCTTTGACGATTTGCCAGCAAATAGTTTACATTCACATGCTACATATCATATCGATTTCATTTATCCAATTTAACCTCCTTGTTCATAGAGTGCTAGACAGTGAAAGATCTCTTGTTTTTGTTTTGCTAATTGCATTGGCAAATGATTGCAAAAGCGTATCGCTCGTTTGTTTATCATCCTCAACTCATGCAAGCTTTATGTATTCTTCGTTTTCTTCTAATTCCATATATTATACCCCCCCTGAAACATTTATTGTGTGTTGTTTGGTTTGAACTTTCAAAATTGTATCATAAATCAAACTCGCATCCGATCGAAAAACACCGCATCCGGGACAACACCGTGTCATTTTGTAGGGAGGTGATAAGCTAACCTTGAACCTAACCGGGACCACGACTCCTACAGTCAGTGGCCACACCACAGTAACGACAATGATGTCCAGTCCCACGGTGGTCACTCCGACTTCACCGACACAATCGCTGAAGAGTTTCCTCCATCCGATAACGCCACCACCCTCGCTAGTGTCAACCACCAGCACCACTGCCGTCCACAACAGTTTACCCGATCAGATCCCCCTGCTGCTAATGAACGGTCTCACCCCGTCCCCTTCGGACAATGTAACCGTCACCCACTTTTCCGAACAGAAAGGCGGAATCGTCGAAAAAATTAGCGTTCCTTCCCACTCCCTTGCTACCAGCCCAACTTCTCTAGAAAAGCTAGCCAACAACAACCCGTTCCTCAACATGTCCCATCCGTCTTCCCCGACTATTCCGGTAACCCCTAGCAAAACATCCACCAACCCATTCCACAACATATCCACTTCCTCAAACAGCTCGGGAACCTCCGAAGCCGGATTGAACTCAACTGAGACCGTCAGCGTGCCGAGTTCGCCCCAGCAACACCAGCAGCCACTAGTACTAGCACCGGAATTCAAGAATAGCAACCCATTCAAGGAAAGCACGAGCCTGAACAGCTCTCGAGCTCGCAGCAAAAGTCCGGCGGCTATTGGCAAAGTGACCGTAAGCAGTAGAAGCAATAGTAGCAGCAGCAGGGGCACCTCTCCCAGCAGCAATGGCAATGGCTTGACGACGAATGCCATCGAATTGAAGCGGATCCCTAGCATACGGAGACCTACGGAGGCAGTGGTGTCTGGTACGTCTACTACGGCGTCAACGGATGCGACGGATATGTCAGCGCCGCAAAGCAATGGTACCTTGGAGAACAGCAGCAAGAGCAAACCGGCCAAGGTAGGTGTGAATGTATGTATGGGGTGCGTGTGTGAACAGGGTATCGGTTTGTGTACTGTAGAACGGGGTTCGGGTTGCATGCCCACAGGGGAAATCGAGGTATGTGTTGTAGTGGATAAGAATCATTGTCTGCATGGTGTTCATTTTTCATACAAGACTAACCCCCCACCCCCGGTGGAAACATTGGGTTTATATTAGGTATAGTAAATGGAGTCGTTTGACTCTTGCTGGTTAACGTAGCGTAGGTAGATCAGAATTGGGCGGAGTTTATTGAAACATGGTGACCAGTTTCCTGCGCAATTTCAATAGCAAATCGGAAAAAAATCTTCGTAAGTTCTTCGAAAAAAAAAAGAATATTTTAGGCATTGAAAAAAATTCAAAACCCTTGAACTGGACTAGATTTTCAGGGTAAAGAAACTTTGAAGAACTATCAAGAGAATTTGGGAAATTCCATGACGAATGTTAAGAAGATTTCAAGATCCGTCCAAGGGAATCGATTTTGTAGGGTATAATTCCAAAGGAATTCTACGAAGAGTTTTATTTAAGTTCGGACGATGATTCCAAGGGCATCTCGAATAGAGTTGGTAGTTAATTTTAACGAAAATTTCAAGTGAATTTTTAGATAAAAATAGAGGCGGGCTTCAAAATACTTCTGATCAAAATTTCAAGATAATTCTGAGTACAGTGAATTCATAGAAGAAGAACTGTAAAATTCGTAAGTCTTAATTCGTTCCAGGACTTCATTGAGGTTTCGGTCATGCTCTTCCTTCTTCCTACCGGCAACTATGATATTGTCGAGATTCGGAATTCCTCCAACCATGGTATCAATAATCCTTTGGAACGCGCCAGGGGCCGATTTGATTCCAGGATACAGACGGCTGTATTCAATCATTCCTCGATGCGTGTTAATTGTAAGGTACATTTTTGATTCCACCCCAACCTCGACTTGCAGGTAGGCATCAGACAGGTCCAGTTGGGAGAAATACCGGCCATGTCAGCAAAAATATCATCTGGACGTGGAAGTGGGTGAGCAGAGCATTCGATTCCAGCGCATTATTCAGCCCCGTAGAATAGTAGTCACAAATTCGAACAGCAACGTTGTCGGATTTCCTGACCACAACAATTGGAGTTGCCCAGCCAGAAAACTTCACTGGCGTAATGATTCCGTTTTCTTGCAGTCGATGAAGTTCGGCATCGACCTTTGGAAGTGCTGCATAAGCCAGCGGTCTTTTTGGACAGTAAACGGGACGGACGTCGGGCTTCAAATAGAGTTTTATCTTCGCTTTAGTCCACCGACCAAGTGTGCGCTGGAACACTTCAGAAACTTCGAGCCTAACTTTTGGACAGTGTCTTCCGGTTTCTGGAGAGCATCGGCGTTGACCAGCGAGTTGAAAGGAATCGACCTCAGATCAAATAACTTGGTTGCTTCAATTCCCAGGACATTCAAATCAGGGTTTGATAACACGTAGACAACTCCTGTATTCTTCACATCTCGAATGGTTAATTATGCGGAGAACTCACCAACAATGCTGATCTTGTCTCCGGAAGCGCTGATTGCCGTTATCTCAGTTTCCTTGATGCTTAGTCTTCCGATTGCTTCCCACGTTTGTGTTGATATGAACGTGACATCGGAAGAGTTGCATCGTTGCCATTTTTTTTTAACTAGTTCGTTTATTTGGGAGGCTCAATCGCGTTAGCTTTACGGAGCCGATAGTTCATTGTTCTTTGTTTGTAACAAAATTCACTTAATTCTATGTCTAGTAGGAGTTTGGCCGAATACTCGCGGCTTACCCGAGGTTAGAGAGGTACATTGTCGAAGGATAGGATCAGGGGAGGAGCTTGGGGGTAAGGTTTCGTTGTCTCATCAGAGCGTTGTCGCCAGTATGCACGGTAGTGCGGTTCTAGTTTCGTCTGGAACATCGTTGCCATTGATTCCAACAGAAACGTATTTCCTCTTGCCTTGAAGATCGATACGCTTGAGGGAAATTCATTTGGACTTGATGCGCTCCTTGGGCTTGGGTTTTTTTTTAACTTCTTGCCAGGTTTCGATTTAAATTCGGCAATACCCTTCTTTATGCCGCCTGCGTTCGCACTTGCTGCAGTTCTTGTCTTGATAGGGATATTCCTCCACAAAATGCAGACCACCGCATAACCAGCATGGGGAATTCGGCTTCTTTTTTCTAGAGAAGCTTAATTACGGACGGATTTCTCCGGAATGGGTTTCTCTATCATTTTGGTGTTCTGCTTAAAGTTGTTGAAACGATAGCACTCTTCGATGAGCTTTGCAAGGTGAGCTTCGAACCTTCCGCCGGCGGAATATTCTCTTCAGCTTCCAACTTACCGATTAATCCGGTGCGGATGTGTGCATCTCGCGGATATTGAAGACCACAAACAAAACGTAGTGTCGCTTCACAGTGTTTATTCACGGAGGCAGCATAGCTTGAAACATCGTCAGCATCGTTTTTCATGTATTGAAGGCACAGGAACCGATCGTAAAGCTTCTTGAGTTTCTTCACCATTTCGTCGCGTGGATGATTTGGTAGGATACTATTGACGTACCGTTCATGGAATTGGGTGCCAGTCTACGTCAAGAGTCACCTTCGCGGGGTCGTTCAGATTCTTGCCGTCGAACTTGAAAACATCTTCGTAGCGGGCGTACCAATTGTCGAAGATCGTTAGGATCGTAGTAGAAGTCTTTAATTCCCGTGGCCAACGACTCGATGATCTTCTTGCTTCCCGGTCGGTTGACTTGACCGGCCCGATTGATGCGTTGGATCTGTTCTTGTTGACTGGCTACCAGCTCGGTGAGCCGAAAAAATGCGTGCTTCAAATCTTGGTTCGACATCTTCAAATGACTTGATATGGATCGACTTGAATTGAAGTGACTCGAACTTGTTGTCGTCGCTAGATATTACAGACTTCAATAAAAGACTGATTTTTGGTTAACTCACAGCAAAAAATAAATTTTAATATGACGTCCAAGAGGATGCAATTAACTCCTGTCGAAAATCTCATGTAATTTTTATGGGCACAAAAATAAACAAATGCTGTATTAATGATAATTTTACACCATATTTTATATATTATAAGTAATATTACACCATATTTTTGACACAATTAAAGTGCATCCATTTTGATGTGACATCAACATTAATTATATGCTGTGATGCTATATACTTCCGAGGTCAGAACATTAATAAATGTAGAAAATAGTTGTGTCAAACAGCTTGATTATTCATAGGCTTCTAAGGGCACGGCCAGGGTAGACGCGATTCGCGACGCGACGCAACGAATTAAAAAGGATCTTATTAGGGGAAATGTAGGTAATGTCGGCCTACATGTCCCTAATTTGGGCCCATCGCTAAAAGTCTGCTTTTTATCAATTTTATCTAGATGAACGCGTCATTAGGACGGTACCAATGGATATTTTTGGTCGCTATTGAAAATCTAGTCGATTGCTGAATTTATGTATGGGCCCAAATTAGGGACATGTAGGCCGACATTACCTACATTTCCCCTATTTATTATTATTCATTGCGTGAGTCGCATCGCGTGTCGCGTCTACCCTGGTCGTACCCTAAGGCCGACAACATAGTAGAAGCAATTCGAAGCGATTCGATGCGTTGGCAATAAGCGAAGCGCTTGCGTGAAAGCTCCCTCTATGAGCGTCCTATGGGAATCGCCCAAACCTATCATAGTGAAAGCGATGCGAAGAGGTGTGCAGCGTTCAGCAAAGCGACAGAGCTGTTCGTGTTGTGTTTTGACGCCTACGAACGCAAGTGGGCTGATAATCTTGTTTGTCACTAGATTCAAAATCAGATCCATGTGTTCATATTGTGTAAGACCGAAACTTCTCTGGATATTTACGAAGATCTTCGTACAATCTGAAGAACTCCTCATCTCATCTGATTGATCGGTGAACTATACACTCTCTTTTGTTGTTCATTACGAAATTAATCGTGCTTGAGGAAGCGAAATATTCCTCATCGGAAGAATCCACGGTGAATTGAAACAAATATGAACAAATATGTTGTACTGCGCGCGCGACTGTAATGTTTTCAAAAACGCTTTCACTATGGCCGCGGCCAGGGTAGACGGGACACGTGACGCGACGCGATGCGACTCGCATAAGGAATAATAATAAATAATAAGGCCGCGGCCAGGGTAGACGCGACACGCGACACGCGACGCGATACGACTCACGCAAGGAATAATAATAAATAATAAGATTCTTTTGAATTGGTCGCGTTGCGTCGCAAATCGCGTCTACCCTGGCCGCGGCCTATGTCATAGGTTGCTTTGCTTGCCGCTTCATTTCGCTTTGCCAATTGCTATCGCTTCGAATCGCTTCTACTATGTTGTCGGCCTAAGATATTCGTTTCATGTGGTTACTATGGAACACATATGTATGTCGGTCAGCGTTGCCAGATTGTTTTAAAGTTTATCGGTATCGAAGGTTTTAAAAAATCGGTATTTATCGGTATTTACTACATTAATTCATTTTATATTATAGCTGTTTTTGAAAGCGAATTGAGAAACTTCTAGTGAATATTCAAAGAAACCATCGGAAAAAAATCGGATTGCACATCCAAAGGAAGCCAGAAAAGTTTTGGATAATGGAAGTTAATTCCAGAAGTAGCCAGTTCTAGGGTAAGCCAGAAGAAGTTCGGAAAACCCTTCCAATAAAAGTCGAAAACCTATGGCTTATGGACACACTTCCAGAACAAGATGGAAGAAACTTCCTGAAGACGCTGGCAGACACTTCCTAAGGTAGATTGCAAGAAACTTCTGAAGAGGCCTATGGAACAGTCGAAAGAAACAAGGACATAATTCCGGAAGAAAGAGATTTCTGGGGGATGTTCTAATGATCCAGCAAATTTTCCTGATATTCATAAAACATCCCTGAAGACCCCGCAATGCCCCTGAAGTTTTCGGAACATTCCTGAAATGCACTTAGGAATATTCCATAATTCCTCGGAATTCCTTAAAATTTCTTGTAA